GTGACAGTCTATAGTGCCAAAGTGTAAGACCTCCTTTGGTCAATCTGTCTTCTCTGTAAAGGGAGCCAAACTGTAGAATGATTTACCTGTTAGCTTAAAATCAGAAAGTAATCTAAATATTTTTAGTAGTGTTCTTAAAAAGTCACACGGGCAATTACAGTGGTCAAAAACAAACCAGCAGTGTTTGCACAGATAGTCTACGGTTAGTTTGCTGGAGCATGCTCCCTTTTGCGTTTGCCTTCAGTAATTTTATGTAAAGAATTTTGATGTAGTGTATTTGTTTTTATCATATTTCCATTTTGTCAATTTTTGTCAAGTCTTCTGTGGCCAGCTGTTGAGAATAGAACAGCTGATTCTGCTCACATATTAAGATTATAAGGCTGAACAGCATGAAATGCCATCAGTCTACAGAGATTTCCCAGTGTTTCTCTGATGCAATCTGGAGATCATAATAATTAATCCTGAAAAGCCAGAGCAAAGCAAACACTAGCAGATTACTGTTGTGTTTGTGATAAGGAAAACACATTGTGTTCGTATATGTTGGTGTAAAATCTGAATCTATGTAATAATGTGTGTGATTTGTGCTTTTAATAACCCACTGGTGGTGTTTGCTTCTGTTTTCTCAGTGAAGTTATTTGAAGTAATCGAGACGGAGAAGACGCTGTATTTAATAATGGAGTACGCCAGTGGGGGTGAGTTATTATTATTATTTAATTAATTAATTAATATATATTTTTTAAACTTGATGTTGTCTATGAGTTACTCTCATTGTTTGTGGGTTTTAGTTATTGTGAAGCACATTTGGTCAGCTTGTTGGGTTGTGTTTCACTGTGCTTTATAAATTAAACGTTGTCTTTATTGTTTGTATGTGTAATATTTAATAAGAGTGTTGACGCTGGTCATGTCTGACACGTCTCTGCATGTCTGTGATTCTGCCAGGCGAAGTCTTTGACTACTTAGTGGCTCACGGGAGAATGAAGGAGAAGGAGGCCAGAGCCAAGTTTCGGCAGGTGAGACTTGTAGGCTCTAGAGAATTAAATAAAGTCACAATTTCTTATGAGACCTCCCACACATCACTAACACACACCAGGCGCACAGAAGTATGAACAGTGTCTTGACTCGTAGCTGGGTGCTGTGAACAGCCGGCAACTTGCAGTGTCGGTGTACGCACCCTGATAAAAATCTAGGCTGTTTCCATTTGTAAAGTGCATGGCACTGTTCATATTTTTGTTGCGCTACAGAGCGCCATCTGATATCCGTGTGCGACCCCCTTTAAGACGTTGACGATGTTTTTGCACAAAATTGTCAAACATTTATTCTTTCATTTTATTTTCGGCTTAGTCCCTTTATTGTTCTGGTGGGAGGCGTGCGTTGGCAAAAGGCCACAGGCCGAGTGTCTTAGCGCCCCACCAGTGCTGATATACAGCCATAGCACACTGCTACGAGTGTGATATTGCGTTTATACAACAGTTCGACGGCTAAATCTTGTACATAAAAAAGAAAATCAAAGTCTAAAAACACTTTTGTATAAGGAACTACTTTCTTCCGCCATTCATTCACATCTGCAGCTGACGTCAGAACAGCAGAAGCCGTTACTAATTCACCAACGCCACTTTACAGCTAGTGTTTGAATGACTCGGTCTAAAGTGATGACAAAACTGCTGATTTTGCTGACACTTTAAGATTATAAGGCTGAACGTGACATGAAATCCTTCCTACAGTGTTACAGTCTACAGTATTTCTCTGTTGCAATCAGGATTTCACAATAATTAACCCCCAAAATAACAACGAATCCACTAACGTTACCAGACTGCTGTTGTGTTTGTGCTAAACGCTAAACATGTGCCGACTTTGCTTATTTTAATCTGCCAACACAACACACATTACTGATATGCGAGCAAATCTGTATAAATGCAGCACTACAACATACAAAAGAGAGAGATCATCTTACCTGCCAACATGTCTCTGAACACCCGGGAGACCAGGGGGGAGAGGGTGTTCGGGGGTGAGGTTGAAAACAGGATGCAGTGTATTTTCGGCGGCCGTTTCGATCGGGTACTCTACCAAAGTTGGCAACCGGGGGGTGTTTAGTTTACAGACTGTACCAAAGAGGGGGGTGTGTGAAATTACGGGAGATTTTAGAAAGAAAAAAAACAGGATGGTTGTGGGAGACTGGTCTGAAATATGGGATACTCCCATTAAAAATGCAAGTGTTGGCAGGTCCTTACCAGTTTAGTAATGATTTGATCTGCTGTAGTTAGAAATGAAACTGTTATATCTTCTAAGCGTAAAGGCTTATTATGCGGTTCTGTCGCCATCTTGTGGATAGAAAACATCAACTGTCGTCAACAAGCTTTCTCAGAAATTGTAAATATTTTAAAGAGGGCACTATTCTTGCAAATAAACGCATAGTTGCAATCTAAACAACTACATTCTCCACTAAAAAAGCCTCAACAGTACATTTGGTTGTGTAACAGCAGTAATACTTGTCAAACTGTAGTGTCTGCTTGTTCATGGCTGTATTTGGGCGGAGTAATACACAAAGGGTAAAGAGGCTGTACGGGTGCTGATATATCACGGCTATCAGCCAATCAGATTTGAGATCCAGACAGAACTTATGTATAAACATATATATATATATATACATATTTAAACACAAAAACATAGCTGATTGGCAATTATAGCTTTTGCCTTCGAACATCAATAATTAATTTCAATAGCTCCAATGTTTTAAATGGAGTTTAGTGTAGAAGTGCTCCCTCTAGTGTCCGTCAGCTCAGATCAGCTGTTGTTTTGGTCTGTTCTCAGTTCAGTGTGTTGTTTAATAAACCCCTGCTGCTGAGCAATAGTTATTGGCCGTTTTCCTGTTGCACTCTGCTAATGAAGGCGTAAATAAAAGCCGCAGGATGTTTCAGATTCACAGTGCAGGAGCTGATTAACTAGAGCAGAAACTCTCTCAAACAAAAACAAAGATATTTGGGAGAATGTTGGAAAACCTGACCGTATTTGCTCTTCCGACTTTGGAGGTCAGTGGTTTTCAGCATTCTGCTGACACAGCTGGGTTTACACCGCTTATGAAAGTGATTTCTGCATAACAGGTCTCCTTCAAAACCGTTATAAATAAAAATGCCATTATATTAAAAACTCTCCCTGTGTTTACCCTTGTGAACTGTTATGTATGCTAATGTGACAGTGCATGTGTGTGTGTGTCCACAGATTGTGTCTGCAGTGCAGTATTGCCATCAGAAGAGAATAGTCCACAGGGATCTCAAGGTGAGACGATTATAACAGCAGATTTTTTTCTTCCTGTTCACAAGAAATAGATTAAAAGTGTGATCATTTTTCCCAGACAACATATTTCTTAAGGTGCTGTTGACTTGAAAATTCCCTAGATGTTAATAACAATAAAGAAATCCATATAAGCAAAGAAAACAAAGCTAATTAGTTGACAGATAAAGTTCTGTAATTAAATGAAATGAAGCAGGGATAAAGTATTGAACACATGAAGAAAGGGAGGCGAAGAAAGACATGGAAAGCCCAGACAGCAGCTGAAATCTCTCAGTCGTTCTTCAGCAAGCCTCTGCCCTTCCTCAGTGTAAATGAACATCAGCTGCTTCAGTCCAACATCTACATCAGCAGGAGGATGAAGATGAACCCATTTCAGCAAGACAATGATCCAAAACACAGCCGAGGAGACTCTCAGATGCTTTCAGAGAAAGACAATCAAGCTGTAGAATGGCCCAGCCAATCACCTGATCTCAATCTAATAGAGAATACAAGAGCTCAGATTTGATAGACGAGACCCACAGAAGCATTAGGATTTTGGCACTCTGTTGAAGTCTGTGAGAAACTCACACCTGAGCACTGCATGAGACTTCACTCTCCAAATGAGGTCCCGTTTACACTGATGTGTTTTAGTTTGAAAACGCATAAGTTTTGCTACGGTTACACCATCCGTCCACACTACGCTGGAGTTTTCGAGTGCCGAAAACGGAGCGTTTTGGAAACGCTGGATTAGCCGTTTTCATTCTGAAATGCTGCTGCTGCGTCTCAGTGTGGATGAGGGAAAACGGAGACATCTGAAAACAGAGGCGGGGCTGCTGAGATTCGCTACCTGATTGGGGCTTTTGTGTCATTGCGTATCCTTCCCTTATTCGTCAAGCCCTTATCACATGACTATAACATACGGCTTTAACGCTACCGGAAGACAGCAGACCAGCCTTCACTGTGAACAACAACACGGGCACAGAAATAAGAGCGTTGTTTGCACTATTGTCTGTATTGTCTGTAGTGTCAGCCCATTTACACGGGGCTTCAGCGTCAACGCTTGACTGAAGGCGTGTGTGAAGTTGGGGCTGAAGCGATCGTCATAGAAGCGTCAGCCAATGAAATTCAGTCAGCAATAGGCCACTGTCTAGCTGGTGTATTTGCATACAGCGATCTGATTGGCTGACGCTTCCGTCGGCACTTGAAAAGTTGAGCTAGTCCCAACTTCTGCAGCAAGCAACGCCTCTGAAGCGGCGCCGACGGATCCACAATGCAGTTCGGTAACGCCTGACGTCACCCATTCAAAGTGAATAGGAAGCGTTGACGCTGTGAATGGGGCGTAAGAAATATTATTCCCAGGACAATACCTGTTCAATACTTATTTCCACCACTGTATATATTTTAAGGTGCAGGCTGAAATTGAAAGCTGTTGAAAGTGGTTGAAAGTTCTCCAGAGACAGCCCCTGTGAGCAAAAGCATCCCAAGGGTGGGCAATTTTAAAGACAACATTGCAATGTTTTAGATCAGCATGTCTTTACAGCTTCTCAGCGCCGGCCCTGTTCATGAGGGCAGGTAATTCTGACTTCAGCTGTATAATCGTCTGTCATGAATACTATAAAGTGTCCATCTCGTGCTCAGACAGCTCAAAGGGCCTGGTGTTGGTGAGGATCTGATCCCCATCATGGATCTGTTGCATTGATTTCTAATAGTGGTGCTCTCTCTCTGTCTGTCAGGCGGAGAATCTGCTGCTGGATGCGGACATGAATATAAAGATCGCAGACTTCGGCTTCAGCAATGAGTTCACCCTGGGCAGTAAGCTGGACACGTTCTGCGGGAGTCCTCCGTACGCTGCGCCCGAGCTCTTTCAGGGCAAGAAGTACGACGGGCCGGAGGTGGACGTCTGGAGTCTGGGGGTCATCCTGTACACGCTGGTCAGCGGCTCACTGCCGTTCGATGGACAGAACCTGAAGGTCAGTTCAGGAGAGATTACAGCACAATGAATGTGAAATAGAAATATGTCTTAATAATAATAATAATAATAATAATAATGGGGCGGCTCAGTGGGCAGCACTGTGGCCTCACAGCAAGAAGGTCTCTGGTTCGAGTCCCGGCTGGGTCAGTTGGCGTTTCTATGTGGAGTTTGCATGTTCTCCCTATATTGGGTTTTCTTCCGGGTGCTCCGGTTCCCCCCACAGTCCAAACACATGCGCTATAGGGGAACTGATCAACTAAATTGGCCGCAGTGTATTAGTGTGTGTGTGTGTGTGTGTGAATGCAAGTGTGTATGGATGTTTCTCAATACTGGGATGCGGCTTTGACCCGACTTTGACCCAGGTATAAAATAAAGGATGTCTATTAGTACGAGCTGTGTTTGTTACTGTGTCCGTGCAGGAGCTGCGAGAGCGAGTGCTGCGAGGGAAATATCGCATACCGTTCTACATGTCCACAGACTGTGAAAACCTGCTGAAGAAACTGCTGGTGCTCAATCCTGGCAAACGCGGCAGCCTGGAGGTGACTCACACACACACACTACACATTTAGGGTGGAACTATAAGTTCTTTAGGGAGGGTATATCAGGGCGGAGCTATCAGTCTTTTAGGGCATAGCTGTCAGTGTTTTGGGGCGGGGCTATAAGTCCTTTATGGAGGGGCTATGAGTAATTTAGGATGGGGCTGGTAGTGTTATAGGGAGGAGCTATCAGTCCTTTAGGGTGGGGCTATCAGTGTTTTAGGGAGGAGCTATCAGTCCTTTAGGGTGGGGCTATTAGTGTTTCAGGGAGGAGCTATCAGTCATTTAGGGTGGGGCTATTAGTGTTTCAGGGAGGAGCTATCAGTCATTTAGGGTGGAGTTATAAGTGTTTCAGGGAGGAGCTATCCGTCCTTTAGGGTGGGGCTATCAGTGTTTTAGGGAGGAGCTATCAGTCCTTTAGGGTGGGGCTATTAGTGTTTCAGGGAGGAGCTATCAGTCATTTAGGGTGGAGTTATCAGTGTTTCAGGGAGGAGCTATCCGTCCTTTAGGGTGGGGCTATCAGTGTTTTAGGGAGGAGCTATCAGTCCTTTAGGGTGGAGCTATCAGTGTTTTAGGGTGGGGCTATCAGTGTTTTAGGGAGGAGCTATCAGTCCTTTAGGGTGGAGCTATCAGTCATTTAGGTTGGGGCTATCAGTGTTTTAGGGAAGAGCTATCAGTCCTTTAGGGTGGGGCTATCATTGTTTAAGGGAGGAGCTATCAGTCTTTTAGGGTGGGGCTATCAGTGTTTGAGGGAGGAGCTATCAGTCATTTAGAGTGGGGCTATCAGTGTTTGAGGGAGGAGCTATCAGTCATTTAGAGTGGGGCTATCAGTGTTTTAGGGAGGAGCTATCAGTCCTTTAGGGTGGGGCTATCAGTGTTTTAGGGAGGAGCTATCAGTCCTTTATGTTAGGGGCTGTCCGTGGCTTTAGGGTGGAGCTATCAGTCATTTAGGGTGGGGCTATCAGTGTTTTAGGGAGGAGCTTTCAGTCCTTTAGGGTGGGGCTATCAGTGTGTTAGGGAGGAGCTATCAGTCCTATATGTAGGGGCTGTCCGTGGCTTTAGGGTGGAGCTATCAGTTATTTATTGTTTGATTTATTGCAATTGCTTAATTCTGCTGTGAATGTGTTTATAATGTGTGTGGATCTTTTACAGCAAATCATGAAGGACCACTGGATAAACGTGGGTCATGAGGAAGAGGAACTGAAGCCGTACACGGAGCCGGAGCCAGACTTCAGCGACACCAAACGCATCGGTCTGTGTTCCTGCAGTAAAAACAGTTTTAATGGGTTTCAGTCTGGACATTTTTGTCCTTAAAGTCACCATGAAATCAACATTTACTCTTCTTATTTGTATATGTGTATATAGTGCTGATTTAGGGCGGGGCTATCAGTCATTTAGGGTGGGGCTATCAGTCATTTAGGGTGGGGCTATCAGTCTTTTAGGACGGAGTTATCAGTCTTTCAGGGCGGAGTTATCAGTCTTTTAGGGTGGGGCTATCAGTCTTTTAGGGCGGAGTTATCAGTCTTTCAGGGCGGAGTTATCAGTCTTTTAGGGTGGGGCTGTCACTCATTTAGAGTGGGGTTATCAGTCCTTTATTGTGAAGTTATCAGTTCTTTATGGAGGAGCTATCAGTCATTTAGGGAGGGTATATCAGTATTTTGTAGCTGGGCTATCACCCCTTTAGGGCTGGGCTATCAGTGTTCTGGGGTGGGGCTATCACTGTTTTAGGGCGGACCTATCTCCTTTATAGAGGGGCTGTCAGTCTCAGGGAGCACTGTGTGTACAGTAACTAGTTACTTTATAACCAATTACACCCAACACTGCATCTCTCTCTGCTTCCTCCAGAACTGATGATCACTATGGGTTTCCCGAAGGATGAGATCACAGAGGCGTTGGTGGGGCAGAAATATGATGAGGTGATGGCCACATATCTTCTGCTGGGCAGGAAACCTCCAGAGGCGAGTCAGAAACCAACATAACTTCATCATAATGACACATGCATGCTCCTCTGCAGTTTGACTTCATGCTCATTATTCTCTTAGCTGTCCGTGTCCTGTATTCAGGACATTTTCAGTACGTAAAAAATAATAATAATAATAATTCTACTTAATTATCTTAACAAACTGTGTGTAATATGCATTCATCCCCTATACTAATAAGGGTAAATTGTAAATTTGATGGATACAGTTAAGGACTCAAAGTACTATCATAGTGTTTATTCATATTTACAATCACAGTTTAAAGTCTTTCCCCTAAACTAGATCTGTAAATACACTTAAAGACAATATTATTCACTCTCCTGGGGAATTTCTACAGTTGATGACTGTCGCTTTAAATGCAAATGAGATTGTGTTTTTTTGAGAAGTGGGCGGAGCTACAGACGCCTGTGTGTCAGCATAGTGGCACATTTAAATACATGACTGATGTTCTATGCTAATGAGGGAGAGATGGTCACTAGTGGGCGGGGCTTTTCCCCTCTGATGACATCATACAAAGGGAGAATGTCAATCAAAGTGTTTCTGCAGACTGTTTTAGTCAAGTCTGATTATAACAAATACTATTAATACTATTAGGCTGCTTATATTCACACACTGCTAATGATAAGTCCTCTTTAATGTTCTGCTGACTCTGCAGTTTGAAGGGAGCGATTCTCTGTCCACCACAAACCTGTGTCAAAGGTCACGACCCAGCAGTGACCTGAACAACAGCTCCTCACAGTCTCCCGCGCACTCCAAAGTCCAGCGCAGCATCTCAGCCACACAGAAACAGAGGAGATTCAGTGACCACGGTAAAACACACACACACACACACACACACACACACACACACACACACACACACACACTTCAGCACACACGCACACATACAAAATGTGTTGAAAAAAACTTCTTTCTGTTAAACAAAAATTGGGGATAAAATATACAGGATGGCTTATAAGTATATGTACTTTCTCCAAAAGAATACACTCAGTGGCCACTTTATTAGGTACACCTGTCCTACTGCTCGCTAGTACAAATTTCTAATCAGCCAATCACATGGCAGCAACTCAATGCATTTAGGCGTATAGACATGGTCAAGAGGATCTGCTGCAGGTCAGAGTGAGCATCAGAATGGGGAAGAAAGGGGATTTAAGTGACTTTGAACGTGGCATGGTTGTTGCTGCCAGACGGGCTGCTCTGAGTATTTCAGAAACTGCTGATCTACTGGGATTTTCACACACAACCATCTCTAGGGTTTACAGAGAATGCTCCGACAAAGAGGAAACATCCAGTGAGCGGCAGTTCTGTGGGGGCAAATGCCTTGTTGATGAGGCCAGAGGTCAGAGGAGAATGGCCAGACTGGTTCCAGCTGATAGAAAGGCAACAGTAACTCAAATAAGCACTCGTTACAACCGAGCTCTGCAGAAGAGCATCTCTGAACACACAACACGGCCAACCTTTGGGTCCATTAGTACCAATTGAGCATCAACGCCACAGCCTACCTGAGTATTGCTGCTGACCATGTCCATCCCTTCATGAGCACAGTGTCTCCATCTTCTGATGGCTACTTCCAGCAGGATAACGCAGCATGTCATAAAGCTCAATCATCTCAGACTGGTGAACATGACGATGAGTTCACTGTACTCAAATGGCCTCCACAGTCACCAGAGCTCAATCCAATAGAGCAGCTTTGGGATGTGGTGGAACGGGAGATTGGCATCATGGATGTGCAGCCGACAAATCTGCAGCAACTGTGTGATGCTATCATGGAGCAAAATCTCTGAGGAGTATTTCCAGT